ATAACTGTGATCTTGGAACTATTTTCCCCATTATACAACTCGTATAATCTATTAAAATGAAAAGATAAAGTTATCAAACCTTCCCTCTGTAATCTTGTATACAAATGACATTTTAGCGACAAAATAACAAAACTTGAAGGCTTATTTTTCGGAAAAGACTTTTTTTCACGCTAAGATTTTGTAAGGAATTATTTTTATAGTTTCATAATAAGTAATTCTATATTACCTATGCACCATAAAACATCAGTACAGGTTGTTTTTGTGTTGATAAACACTGTTTACCACCATGCTATTGCACCTTAGTTTTGTTAACAGTTACAAAGTTATGTAAAGCAATCCAACATCATATGATTACATTCTCACCATCATTTTAGTTTATTGTGATCCATTCTTACAGTCTCCAGAAAATGTGCAAAATCCAGTCCAAGGTAGTCTAAAGTTTCTGCACTTACATCGTAAAGATGAACATCTGGTTGTGCAACCACAAGTAACGAATTTCATACAAGATTTTGAAACAGAGATCAAAGACAAAACTGTCGGTTTTATGTGGCCATCTATTAGTTCCCATCCTATTGTGGTGGATGGTGGAAGAGTTGGATGTTTTTTGTCAGCTTGTAGCCAAGTTAAAGCTTGGAGATGGGCTCTACTGATATGCAATTTAGTGGCATCACTTGTTGGAGGCAAACGTTCTGGGTTTAGTCCTTTCCTGAATAGAACTACTTGCTTCTGGAACATTGTAAGTTCTGCATAGGAAAGATTCCACACTTGCAATTGTATCCTCAGTTAATAGCTCTTGGCCAAGGCCATGAAGTAATTCTTTGTGCTCAAAGAAAACTTCCAAAGCTGTTTTCTTGCCATGACCCAATATGTATGAAGTTGTATCACAGCCTTGAACCATCTAAACCATATGAGTCAATTTCTTCTTTCACGGGTATGAACTTTGGCTTTTTGTAGATACCTTCCTCCATCCATAAATGTCTGCAGGTCATATTTTTGTAGTATGCCATGAGCAAGAGAAGTACGTCTGTGTCTCTAGCAGAGACCACAATAGTATCAGTGCTTCTATTTACACAGTGAAGTACAATTCTTGTGTCTGCCTCCTCGTGCCACCCTTCAAGTACCCCTAGATCAACCTCTGGTACATTGCAGACTACCTTGTTTCCTCATGAAAGACTCCTGTAACTACTATTTTCTTGTCAGTGGGAGAACCCATGACAAATTTTCTTGATAAAAAATCCGTAAGTTCAGCCTTGTTATCAGGATGGGAAAGGAATCTCTGACAGTCTTGTGGCAACAAAAATTCATCAGACTCGATACGAGTTTCTGGTTCCTTTTTTCTGCCTCTCCCTAATCCCTGCCTTTACTGAATTTGTCTTGTATCTATCAAATAGTACATCATTCCGCTTGTATCTGGGGCCAAATTGATATACTGAGCGTACAAAAGCTTCTCCAAAATCACCAAATATTTTGGAATACTATGGTTTCCCTAGTGCAATCACAAAGCTTGTCCATCAGTAAGGAAGGTAACATCTTTATCAATATTGATTGAAGATGGACAACTCACACCCTTGGTAAATTCATCAACAAGTATAGACTTCTGTCCAGTGTGTAGCTCAGCTAATACTAGTGGAACAGGGAGAAGCTCATGCTGGAGTATCTGATCCAAGTCAACCTGTCCACCAGCTTCATAGGCCAAGACAAGTCTTTGTAGAACTTACCTGTCTGCTTTAAGTGTTTTTGCTATTCGGTCACCTGCTTTTAGGACATCATAGACATTCGAGAATGTCAAAGCTTTGTTCTTGTGCACAGGGTCAGAGAATGTTTTGGAAGGGGCATCATCATCCCCGTGTATAAGGCAGTCATTAACAAATTCCTCCATCTGCTTTGTCTAAGGTCTTTGGCAGGGAGAAGAGCACTAGTTATGTCTACTGTAACCTGATCTTTTGTTGCTATGTTTCCTAGACACTCACTATGTACTCTGTTCATAGCAAAACTTCAAATTTTTGTATGATACTAACAACTTTAGCTTCTGCTTGAGAGTTCTTCTGTCGACGATGTCTTCCTGCCTTTTTATGAAGAAGTGACTCATCGAATTCAGGCCATATAAATTTTTGTATCTGCTGAAATCTGTGCCTGCATATTGAAAGACAAAGACCATCTGCTGAATGCAGAAATTGCCTTTGTTATTCCCACAATCCCTCCTCCTTTTTCCCTGTTCCATAAGCCATTACTGGCCCTGGTCTGGATCCACTTAGCTAGATCTCCTCTGACCAACCTTTATAACAAAGTTATCTCTTGAGAACTCCTCCACTACATCAATGGATTGTGGTGTGGTCATATCTGAAGAAATATGGTAGCATTTACTGGAATGCTAAGAGCTGAAGTTCCCACAAACCATTCCTCCACGTCAACACATGCACGTCGAACCCTTAGGAATGCCCTGATGCAATTTATAAAGACTCACAGCGAAGATCCAAACTATATGCTCTGGTTAGAATATATTGATATGGTAAAAATTCTGCTAATGTTCACACGAGCCTATTGCATTCATATAGTTCATTGCTGTATGAAGTTCCCCGATTTTTGGATTCAATATTTCTTGGTACTCTCTGTATCTCCATTTCAGTTCCATCAATTTACAATATAAGACTTCATCCACTGTGATAATGATGTATTTCTGATCATATGATTCGGCCACATACTTGCATCTCCTCACCACAGTATTCCGAGTACCCATATCATGTGCTGGAGACAGTATAAGTGGCATATATCCAATTGTTGTTTGTGGTGAGTTTCTGTCATTGCATTTCTGATTGAACTGTGTCCTTTCATTCTTCAGTTATTCAGAATGCCATTTCATTATAAAAGTCATTTTCTTTGCATTTGCTTCAATGTCCACTTCTTTTTTTTTCTTATTTGTCTTTATGGAACCATTCCATCAGTACTGGTTTATTGAATTTTGATTCAGCAACACCAACCACTGTATCTGTAGCAATGTCTGTGTTGACAACATTTGGGACATTAAGAGTTGTGTCGTGTGATGGTTAAAGATTCTGCAGTATAGATGTTCCTGCAGGTGGTCTTCTTTGC